TTTCAACAATAACCCTGGCAAACCTCACTGGATGGCAGTAAAACGTGTTCTGAGGTATTTGAAAGGCAGTATTGATTACAAATTGGAGTATAGCAGAGACGGAAACGAAAATTTAGTTGGTTTTTGCGATGCGGACTGGGCTAATGATGATACCGATAGAAAATCAACATCTGGATATGTATTCATGCTACAAGGTGGGTCCATATCATGGAATTCTCGGAAGCAACCTACTGTGGCACTATCATCAACTGAATCTGAGTATATTTCCCTATCATCAGCTGTTCAGGAAGCTATATGGCTGAAAAATTTTGAAAAAGAAATGATTTGCGGAGCTGAGAATGTTGTTATTCATTGTGATAATAAAAGTGCCATATATTTAGCTACGAAAAATACTTACACTGCTCGATCAAAACATATTGATATCAGGCATCACTTTGTCAGAGAAAAAATTGCACAAGGTTTCCTGATTATACAATATATGAATACTGAGGAGATGTTAGCAGATATTTTTACAAAACCCGTTACTGCAGCAAAACATTTCAAGTGTACGAAAGCTATTGGACTTGGAATGTAGTTCTAGGGGGAGTGTTGGAATTAGAACATACATTACACCAAGTCACCTATGTATTCAATATTCTTTTGGTTTATATAGAAACGTATGAGTTGTTGATAATGAGACTGACAGACAGTCAATTGTGTTTTTTGAAATAAAAATTTCTATCTTATCGTGTTTCTCTGGATCATCCATAAGGAAACAGTTCATTTTCCAACTAAATCACTATCATTCCGTGCTCGTTAAACAATATACTATTTTACACCACATTCTAACTGGAGCAGGAGTCTTTGGGCCTCGCACCAAATACTTCGAATCCATGGGACAATTCCCCAGCATTTTTCAAGCGGAAATACACGCCATAGGAAGATGCATCCAGTTCAACCTAGACAGGAAATACCGGAAGAAGGACATCGCGATTTTATCCGATAGCCAAGCAGCCATCAAAGCGTTGAGCTCTCCCTACATCAACTCGAAGATGGTATGGGAATGCCTAAGCAAAGTGAATGAGCTAGGCAGCAACAATAAAGTTACCCTCCTCTGGGTGCCAGGGCATATCGGAGTGGAGGGGAATGAACAAGCAGACGCTCTGGCACGACAAGGGGCTTCAACGCCACTGATCGGACCAGAACCATTCTGCGGCCTTGGAAATTCCTATTTCCAAAGAGAACTTGAGAAGGCGGAAGGAGCCTGGAGAGCCAGACAATGGAGAAGACTTCCAGGACTACGGCAGGCTAAAGATCTCCTTGGAAATTTCAACCGAGAAAGATCTAAGACACTGACAAACCTCAGCAAAGGAAGTCTCAAAGCAATAACGGGATTTCTAACGGGGCATTGCAGACTCAAAGAACACCTAAGGAAGCTAGGCTTACAGGAGGACGGCACCTGTAGATTCTGTGAGGAAGAACCAGAAACACCCCATCACATACTGATGGAGTGTGACGCTGTACATCACAAAAGATTGAACATACTGGGAACACACCAGCTGACTGTGGAAGAAATACCACAGCTAGACCCCCTCAAAATCTTCAAATTCCTGAAGGAATTGAATCTCGAGGGGCTGCTATGAACAGGAAATCCTTGATATAGCAGGAGCAGATGGGGCACAATAGATCTAAAGTGCTCAAAGAAACAAGTGGACCACTGAATTTTTTGACAATTTTCAAACTGCCATAACTTTTGAAAAAATGAATGGATTTTCAATCGGAATGCAGTGCTTGGAAGATGCTGTCTTCCTGTTCAAGATTCACTGTTCAAAACTCGTTGAAGTTTTTCTGCCATTATACACCAAGTGCTCGAAAAAAGTATTACAAAAATGAAAATGTTCAAACGCTTCCGTATTTCAGGGAAATTTTTTTATTTTTCTACAAATCGTTTTTTCTGAACGTTCAAGCCAATATCTCGAAACGGTTTTGGAATTTTCCATATTCCTCATACAGGATGTTGAAAATCGATTTTTTTTCATTTTTTGGTTTTTATCGCATTATTTCCGATTTTGAAATTATGCATGCCACATTCGGAGCATTTTGCTACGCATATTACGATGGAACATCATGGAGAATGGATTCACATTGCTTTGAAGTCATCGACAATCTCAACAGAAGAAAAATTAATTTTTTTTGAGAAATGTTCAGAATTTGGCGAGATCGTGTGTTCAGTTTGATGCTGCCATAACCATATGCTATGCTAAACACAATTCCTTCATTTGGGTCGATTCCTCTGCTTAATATCTCGAATCAATTTTGTGATTTTTCAGATAAGTCAATCCAAGGGGGCGCAAGGGGGCCCTTTTGGATTTCCCTGATCAATTCAAACGATAACGAAGCTGCAATGGTTTTAAGATATTCCTGAGCTGGCATGAAGTCAAGAAACCTCTTCATTACAAGTTTTTTCATCGCATAATCGAAAATTGTTCGAAAAAGTCGATTTTATGTAATCAACACCCATTCACGCAATTAATACTACTGCAACACCCAATATAATACCTCCTGTCGAACCTTTGACAACTGTCATCATCCTACAACAATATCTTTGCTGGTATTATTGTGCTCGAAAATTATGCCGCGATTGTCTCGGAATGAACTCGAAAATGCTCTTAGACTTATTGAGAATGGTTTATCAATAAGAGCTACAGCCCAAATGTATGGAGTCTCCCACAGTGTTTTGGTGAGAGCGAAAAGTCGATTACAAGAGACCGGCATTGTGAGTTATAGGTTTGGAGGTGGCAGACCTCGAAAGCTCAGCAATGCTCAAAGCAGATATGTGCAAGTTCTCGCTAGAAGAAACCCCAGGAGAAATGCATCCTTGTTGAATGAAGACCTTCGACAAGCTGCAGGTTTGAACGTCAGTTCTCAAACACTTCGGAACACACTTCACAGAAGAAACCTTCGTGCTAGAAGGCAGGAGAGCTGTCCGTTTCTAACAGCACATCATAGAACGGCAAGACTGGAATGGGCAAGACAACATTTGGAATGGGATATGGAATGGCGGCATTGTTTATTCACGGACGAATGTAGGGTGACAAAGCATCAATCTGACGGCAGGATGTTGGTTTGGCGTCAACCAAACGACAGACATGTGGAGTTGAATATGTGTGCGAAAGTTGCTTTTGGTGGAGGTGGGCTAACAATTTGGGGCGGTGTTTCATGGCACGGAAAAACAGATCTTGTCATCTTGAGGAGGACTATGAATGCAAGGGTTTATATCGAGCAATGTCTTGGCCCTATACTTCTGCCAGAAGCTATTGCTCGAGGAAACGAATTCGTCTTCATAGACGATAATGCTCGTCCACATAGGGCGGCAATCGTTCATGAATTTATCCAACAGCACGGCATCAATCATATGGAGTGGCCAGCTAATTCCCCAGACATGAACATAATAGAACATGTTTGGAGTCGATTAAAGCTCCGATTATCAGAAAGGCAACGAATTCCAGATGATTTGAATCATTTGGAAAACATAATTCGTGATGAATGGGCCAGAATTCCACAAGATTTCATTCGATCCTTGATAGAATCAATGCCTCGAAGATGTCAACATTTATTGAGTCGACGAGGTGGACCAACAAAATATTGAATATATTTATAATGATAATTATTGGGTACTTAATTTCAGAAATAAAAACTTGTTCAAGAAATAATGATTTTTGATGCACCCAAAGTTTAAAAGCGGATCTTTCTTTTGGTTGAATTTGAATATAAAGATATTGTTGTAGGATGATGACAGTTGTCAAAGGTTCGACATGAGGTATTATATTGGGTGTTGCAGTGGTATCAATTGCGTGAATGGGTGTTGATTACATAAAATTGACTTTTCGATTAATTTTCGACTATCCGATGAAAAAACTTGTTTTAAAGAGGTTTCTTGACTTCATGCCAGCTCAGGAATATCTTAAAACCATTGTATCTTCGTTATCGTTTGAATTGATCAGGAAAATCCAAAAGGGCCCCCTTACGCCCCCTTAGATTGACTTATCTGAAAAATCACAAAATCAATCCGAGATATTGAGCAGAGCAATCGACCCAAATGAAGGAATTGTGTTTAGCATAGCATATGGTTATGGCAGCACCAAACTGAACAGACGATTTCGCCAAATTCTGAACATTCCCAAAAAAAATGAATTTTTCTTCTGTTGAGATTGTCGATGACTTCAAAGCAATGTGAATCCATTCTCCATGATGTTTCATCGTCGTATGCGTAGCAAAATGCTTCGAATGTGGCATGCATGATTTTAAAATCGGAAATGATGCGATAAAAACCAAAAAATGAAAAAAAATCGATTTTCAACATCCTGTATGAGGAATATGAAAAATTCCAAAACCGTTTCGAGATATTGGCTTGAACGTTCAGAAAAAACGATTTGTAGAAAAATAAAAAAATTTCCTTGGAATACGGAAGCGTTTGAACTTTTTCATTTTTGTAATACTTTTTTCGAACACTTGGTGTATAATGGCAGAAAAACTTCGACGAGTTTTGAACAGTGAATCTTGAACAGAAAGACTGCATCTTCCGAACACTGCATTCCGATTGAAAATCCATTCATTTTTTGAAAAGTTATAGCAGTTTGAAAATTGTCAAAATTTCCAGTGGTCCACTTGTTTCTTTGAGCACTTTAATTAGGTCGCAGCGCATCTGACACCATCCAACCTACCAATACCAATACCAAATACACCACATTCTCATCATTGATGGATGTGACGTCACTCTGTGATGCACCGAATTGTTGGAGTCATCAGTGTTGAAAAAAAACGCAGTTATGTGACATAACAATCACAACGGTTCTTTCCTTCATTTATTTTTCTTTTCGTGATTTGATTATGTTTTAGATTGTTTTCAATTAGAAGCTCTTCCTTGTTGGAAGAAAAATCAAGTTGGTACTCAATTTTGTTGCCGATGAAGTCTGAAATGAGAGGAGAAAACGTTTCCTATGACACTCGTATGAACGTACCTTTCCGATCCAAAACCACATCGATATTGACCGCATTCGGGAACAGCTCCTTCAAATCCCGTTCCGTCACTCGGGGATGTAAATTGCTGACGAACACTGTTATTTTCGGATCTTTTTCGATCGGTTTTTTCGGTGGGGCGTGCAACAGGTTTGGTTTGTGTTCAACCACTTCGTCCATCTTTGACCTCTTGGCATGTCCAATTCTAAGAATATAATAATAATAAACATAATCAGTTATTCGAAAAAGTTGCTTGACTTCAAATGTTATTTTATTACCCAATTTCAAGAAATAATTTGAGAAAATTGTGAATACCAGATTTTTTCAGATCTACCAAAAAATATATACATTTTTCGTATTTGTATTATACAGTGTGTCCCACTTACCATGCTCACCATGGGTATCTTTTTAACGGTGAGAGATACGAGGTCGGTTAAATGACACCAAATGTGGAGTTTGTCAAGGCCAACTATGATGTGAAAAAATATTTTGATAAAATCTATTCGTTTTTGTTTTATACGCAAAAAACAGATTTTGATCATTTTCATGTCTCCTCCGTAACTTCTTTATTTATGAAAATATTCAAATAGGAATTTCACATTCTCATGGTAGTTTTTCAAAGTGATTTCGAAAAAAATATGGAATTCATATCAACTCTTCTAGAATTTGAGATATCAGCACCAACTTTAGTTTTTCAAATGTAGGTCATAGCTCACTATGACTTAGTTAAAAATAACTTTTTTTTCTCTTTCAGATGATATGTCGCAGTGATAGTATTGTGTTGATAACAACGGAGTTATCGTCATTTATACAAGAACAAAAAATTATTTGAAAGCCGCCATCTTGACTTTATAAATTTTAACAAGAAAATCATGATCTCCGACCTCAAAAACCTCCACTTACCAATTTTGAATGGAATCTGACCAAAACTTGTCCGCCATCTTGGAGCAGCCATTTTTTTTTATTTCAACAAAAATTCCATAACTCCGATTAACTTGAAATTTGGCAGGTGTTCATAATTTCGGTGACAATACATTATGGAATTTTTATTGAAATTAAAAAAAAATGGCTGCTCCAAGATGGCGGACAAGATTTGGTCCGATTCCATTCAAAATTGGTAAGTGGAGGTTTTTGAGGTCGGAAATCATGATTTTTTGATAAAATTTATAAATTCAAGATGGCGGCTTCCAAATAATTTTTTGTGTTTGTGTAAATGACGATAACTCTGTTGTTATCAACACAAAACTATTACTGCGACATATCATCTGTAAGAGAAAAAAAAGTTATTTGTAACTGAGTCAGAGTGAGCTATGACCTACATTTGAAAAACTAAAATTGGTGCTGATAACTGAAATTCTAGAAGAGTTGGTATAAATTCCATATTTTTTCGAAATCACTAAGAAACTTCCATGATAATGTAAAATTCCTATTTGAATAATTTCATAAATAAAGAAGTTACGGAGGAGACATGAAAATGATCAAAATATGTTTTTTGCATATAAAACAAAAACGAATGAATTTTATCAAAATATTTTTTCACATTATAGTTGGCCTTGACAAACTCCACATTTGGTGTCATTTAACCGACCTCGTATCTCTCACCGTTAAAAAGATACCCATGGTGAGCATGGTAAGTGAGACACACTGTATTTGTGATTTATTTATCCAGCAATAGTAAAGATAGTAATACATGTAGTAAATACAGTTATAAAAATAAGTCTAATCTAAGAGATCTGTAGAAGCAAAACAAAAAGAGTGTCCATTCATTCACATCACTCCAGATTGATATCAGGTACTGCAATTTACACTAATTAATTAGGTTAGTAACCTCAAATTAGTTAAGCAAGTTAATAACATTAGAAAGCTAGACGCATATGAAAGCTTAGAGATATTTAAGAATAGTAATAGAGTAATGAATAAGGATAATGGACCTATTCCATATAGCCCTCTATATAGTTTAGTAAAATAAATATTAAGATGAACATGTGAACTCAACCATGAAAAACATCAACTTGACGGTTAGTATTTTTCACAGTTGGGTGAACATATACCTAGTATATAAGCAGCACACTAGAATAGGATATTTAGTTTTAATCTTCTCCTGAAGATGCTAACATAGTTAGCGAGGCGTTGAAAAATCGGCTTGGTTAGTGGTGAACCAGTGTAGTGGAACAGGCTATAGAACAAACTGTATGAGAAGAAAATTGTTATTTTTTCTCATTCCTCCTCACCTAGTTCTCTCTCTCGGCTCGAACTTCCGTTTCCTAACGCGTTCCTCCCTACTCTCCGCCACCTCCTCAACTTCCCTCCCGCTCTCTTGCCTCTCCTCCACCACTTTTTTCACTACGCTGCACGCCTCCAAACATTTCATCACGTCCTCCAACGTGCCGTTCTCCCGCTCGAACATCGACCACTCTTCGGCAATGTATTGGGGCCAGTCCTTGCTGGCGGCGAGGGCCCGCCTGAAGACGGTCCTGGCGGAATTAGGGTCGCCGTACTGGATTTCCAGGCGGGCGTACTCCAGCCATACGCTGGCCGTACCTGGAACACGAGAGCGGCCCGTTATCACATCAGACCAAATAACATCGAATTCTAGATTATTTATGCTGAATAACAAAAGACCCGCGTATCATTCATATATTATTGAGAAGTAACGGGTTTTCCAATAAGAGTGCCAGAACTTTTAGATTTCACACAACAAAACTAACAAGTGATAATACAGTAATTTTCATATTATTTTGAATAACTACCTCTGACAATATGTTTCAATAAATTAAAAGTGGAAAAACTAAAAAAAAATAGTAGATTGTTTTATTAGGAACAAAAATGACACTTTGTTTGACAAGCAAATTTTGCATTTGCGAGCATTTAGCGAAGCCGAGCGAAAGCAAAATTTGCGAGTTGAACAAAGTCACTTTCGATCCAAATGAAACATGCTATTTTTTCTGCAACCGAAACAATTAACTCGAATAAACATGTGAAGTAACCACCAATGCCGTGCCATATGTATGCAATGCAACAAATATTGACAAATAATCCATGTGGTGAGAATATTCTACCTGCATTAACAGCAGGTTAGGTTTTCTAGGATGTTCGACTTATAGTTTCAAAATAAATTCAACCACAGAGTGACTTATTTGTGTATGGACCAGGTGCTCTAATGGCAAATACCGCGCCAGTGCCAGCTATAGGAACACGACGTGGAAAATGTTAGGTTATTGAGCATATCAACAATGATAATAGTGATTATTTATTCCTCTCCATACTACACTGTGTTTGACTTGATAATCAAATGAAGCTAAACAATATCGTTGTTTGAGACAAAAAAACTATTGCTTGGCGTGATTATTCAAAAATAAGTTATCCATCCCGAGAATAACGAATGAAATACAGATCAAGCAAGTATATGAATCTTGGAGGCTTCCCTGATCAAAACAAAAAACTGAGATGTTTATAATTCCAATACTAAACTATAATAAGGTGTATTCATATCTCCAGCATGGGTATGAAATGCCAAATCTGCTAAAATCGGAAACAAATCAGGTATGCGTCTCAACCCAAATAACCAACCGTCACAATGTTGTTTATTCTTGATGACGTCCAGTAGATCCTTTTTAGTTCCTAGGGGGTAAAGTTCAACTTTAGCTCCTAGGAACTAAATATGTTGCCTAGCAACATACCTATTTTTGTGTCAGTAATAGAAACGTCAATTCAAGAGCTAATTTTGGTATCAAAATGGACGACTTTTGTGTCGGTTGCAGAAAAAAAGTTTTATTTAAAAGCTTAAATTGATATTCATCATACAGGACGTGGAAATATATTCTGAATTAAGTTTTTTTACGTTTAATTTGTTTTTTTATTTTTAGTTATCGCGGAATAGGTTTCTCATAGACTTAAATATCGATTTTTTAAACCTGCATTTTCATTCTCAGCGAACCATTTCATTATAGAAAAGCACAAAAACCTCAATAGTGCGCCATATTTGATTTAAATGGATGCCACATCATTACTAGTCACTCTCAACGAGCCTTTTCATTTGATACCCATATTGTAGAAGTGCATTAAAAATAACTAATCCGCCATCTTGGATTGCCCGCAATATTGGATTTAGAATGACATTACATTATTTCTCGAGTTTCTCTCAACGAGCCATACCCATATTGTAAAATTGCATTAAAAATAACTATTTCGCCATCTTGGATGGTCCGCCATATTGGATTTCGAATAACGTCACACACCTTATCGTGCATTGTCATCCAAACTAAACGTGTATACAAACTATCAGCTCAATCCGCCTCGACTTTGTCAAGTTTCCTGTATCCTGGTGATTCAATTTTCAATTACTTTTGGACACATATCACGTATAATGTTTTCCAGGGTGCGTTAAATGTGTTGTTCAAGGTCTTGAATTGTTCGGGGCCTATTTCTGTAGACTAGAGATTTAACATAACCCCATAGAAAATAGTCGAATGGTGTAAGATAAGTAAAGTACTAGACGAGTCACTCCTTCTTTTATCGACATCTGAGGCTATGCTCCGAATTCAACCTGTCAGTACTGCATCTGCTGATTTTGCATTGGGAAATCAACAAAATGCACTGAAAGTGACAGATCTCGATGGCAGATATTTTTTTGTCTCTTGGAGCGCACGGAAGGGAATTCCTATGCTGTACGAAGAACATCGTGCGTAGCTAGGGAGGATAGGAGGAAGACGTAGGTGTTCTTTCTTTCATTCTGAATATTTCAGATTTCTGCTGAAATTTCTGACCACCAAAAGGTAGTGTGGAGTCAGCAATAGGTCAATAATCGATAAAAAAAAAAAAGTTGGCTATAACGATTCGAAATAAGCGATACGCCCTCTTGCGGATATTGAAGTTAGCCAATGGAAATTACTTTGAATGTTTGTTTATGGAAAGTTTAGTAGTCATTGTGATATTTTTCTAGTTTGAATTCTTCAGTAGGGTATCTTGAACCATTATTGCTTGGTTTCACATGTTTTTCATGAAAGTTTTCTGCATTTCACAGAAAATTATGATTTCAATCAGTGTATAATTGAAAGATATTCTGTCAACTTTGAGATTGAATTCAGTTGCATTTTATTTCCAGAAGTGCAGTTACAGAAGGAATTGAAAAAATGAAATCCTTACTCGAAAGCAAAGCACATAATATGTTCAATTCTTCTACCAGAGGTAAATCAATTATTCGTACATACATCCAGCTTTGAGGACTTTCTCTCTTTCATATAAACACATGAAAGTAGATGATTCGACTACAATATATACATCTCAGATACCCACTCTGTGAACTTCAAGATCATATTCACTCCACTTATTTTGCAATAATTATTTCACTACGTAATGGAAACGAATTACAAACTAGCGTAACATCAAATTGGGGCATTTGTATTTGAAGTAGTGAAACACACTTTATTGAACGAATATCTGCTGAAAAGCTCCCTCGATTCACAAGAGCACAGGTTTTCTTTGCTCAAATCACTACCAAGAAATCTGAATAGTACACACAATCATATGAACCATATCAAAACAATGTACTTTCATATATTCGAAATTCCAGTGTTTCTACTAAAAAGAGTTTTGCACATTATCATAAGACAGATAACTTTTTTAGTGAATCTTTCTTTTTTACATGGTAGTTTCCCTAGAGCGCTGACGGTAGGAAAGGTAACTCCTCTGCGTAAGAACAAAAAATTATCAACATTAGAAAATTTTAGACCAATTACCGTCCCCCAGAGCTTCTCGAAAATCTTCGAGTATGCATTCCTAGAGCGTTTGAATGATTTTCTGGAAACACACAATATTTTGATAACCATGCAGCATGGTTTTCGCTGTGGAAAATCGGACTGGTGTGCCTCAGGGATCTATCTTGGGGCCGGTTCTGTTCCTACTATACATCAATAACATCGATAGGGAAATATCATACTCATTATTTACAGCATATGCAGACGATATCAGTATATTGATCTCGGATAAGCAATCTGATATTTTAACACACAAATGCACAGATATCCTGAATTTAACTACTGTATATTTCAACAGGCAGGATCTATTTTTTAATGCAAAAAAAACTCAGGTGATTCGTTTTCATAATTATCAGAATAAAACTGAAGCACTTCAACTGAATATTAATAATACATCCTTACAAAGCACCCCCAATCCAGTTAAATTCTTGGGTATGCAAATGGATGAATATCTGAACTGGATTCCACACTGTGAACAATTGGTTTCAAAATTGTGTTCATTGATCTATCTCTTTAGGAATCTAAGAGTCGTTTTAAATAAAAAGCAACTCATCAGTGTGTATTATGCTCAGGTTGAGTCCAGGTTGCGTTATGGTGTTTGCTTGTGGGGCAACTCAACAATGGGTAGAAACGTCTTTATTGAACAGAAGGCTATTTTACGATGTATATTCAATACTCCTAGAAGTTGTTCATGTAGAACTCTATTTATAAATCAGAAAATTCTAACTCTTACAAGTATATTTATATATGAAATCTCAGTTTATGTATTTACTAATAAAAGTGACTTCATTCTAAATAGTGATATTCATGATAAGAACACTCGTCAAAAACAAATGATACATGTCAAAGCTGCAAAATATAAAATTACTCAAAATGCTCCCAAATGCATTGGACCTAAAATATTTAATCATCTGCCAGAAATCATCAGAAGAGCTGAAAATTTATCAATATTCAAAAAACGTCTGAAGTCGCTTTTGTTGATCAACTGTTTTTACACACTCGATGAGTTTTTATCTAGTCCTCTGTGATCCACTCTATTATGTACGTGATATATTGTCTAGACCCATAACCCCTTTTGCTTGTTTTTATTTCATCTTATTTATTTAGTTTTAGTTTCAAGTTAGATATAAGGTGCTGACTATTCCTATACAAAATGAAAAATTTTTGTCATTTTAAGGAAAATAAAAGATTGATTGATTCAGGGATTGTCCATTATATGTATAGAGATTGACTTACAAAATGTAGGAAGGGAGAAGGAAGAAGATGAACGAATTTGATTCTAACCTTTGTGATGTCGACCATGCACGATGTCGTTCCATATTTTCCTAGCTCGGCCCATGTCGGCCCCCTTCGCCAACATTCTCGCTCGCCACCTGCTCAACTTTCTAGCCGGATCGGTCTCATCTGTTATTTGCTCTTCGGCCTGCCGAAAAAGTTTGTCCAACTTGTCCGAATCACCGCAGTTTCTCACCTGGTATTCCAGGAAGGTCAGCCACAGATCGAGGTTGGGTACGGCCGAACAACGGGTCAATCCTGAAACAGGAAACGTAGTCCACGAAATGGAGGTGTATATTAGTAGGAGAGCCGACTGCAGATGTCGACCGTCTTCTGTCCCAAACTTGACATTACAATAATTCAAAAGGAGGAAAAGAAACAAACTTGAAGTTGGTCGACTACAAAACTTGATATAAATCACTCATGCATGTGATTAGTTTCGGCACCATGGCCCTCTTCAGACGACACGACAGTAAGGAAGAAGTACCTGGAAATTACAGAGATCTTGAATCTAAGACAATCAGTGGCGTAACTTCATATTTTGACCCCGCCCCCCCCCCCCCATGCCAAAATCATTTAGGTCCCCCTCGAGACAAATCTTTCCAACTATTTTTTTTATCGCTTGGAGCGCACGAAAGGGAATCCCTATAATGTTCAAAGAACATCGTGCATTCCTAGGGAGGATAGGGACAGGAGGTAGGTATTGGAATTTTTTTTAACTTTTGGAGATAATATGTTGTTGGGAATACTTCCACAGGCAATGAATTCCAGAGCCTAGCCGTTCTATGGATGCAGGAGTCTTGATAAAGTGCTGCTCGACATCTTTCGAGGTTGACAACGAAAGGATGTGCTGACTGGGCTTGTCTAGTTCATCTGATTGGTATTGCTAGTGAAGGGATGATAGCAGAGATTTCCGAAGAACATTTCCCGTGGAAGTATCGATAGAAAAGTGAAAGGTCGCCGACCTTTCTACGGTGTTCCAATGATGTCAAAGAGTGAGTGAGTGTGGCGTCACCCACCAGGCGAATGGCTCTTCTATGGATAGAATCTAAGAGCATCAGCGTATGTTTTGGTGCTGAACCCCATATGTGGGAACAGTATTCTATAACAGGCCGTATCTGCGCTTTGTAGATCATGAGAAGCTGTTGAGGTGTAAAGTAGCTTTTCGCACGGAACAAGAATCCGAGTTTTTGTGAAGCAGCTTTTGCGATGGATCTGACATGATTATCCCATGAAAGAGTGTTGCTGATGGAAATACCTATCATAGATATGATGGGCTTGGTGGGGATGGTGGAGCCAGACATTACAATATCGGGCATACTGAGTTCCGCCTTTCTAGAGAAAATGCAGGCTTGAGTTTTGGTGGCGTTGAATTCAACTAGGTTGTTTGTTCCCCAGGCTGTGATTTCAGCAAGATCTTCATTGACAGCATTGACTTGCCTGCGCCGTGAGTTCTTAGTTTCCTGGGAAGAAATGGGAATTCTGGAAGAGAACGCAGTATGTAGGGTACTATCATCTGCAAAGCTGTGGATGGGGTAAGTTGTTACTCCCAACAGATCATTGATATGAAGCAGGAATAATGTTGGTGCCAAAATTGATCCTTGTGGAACGCCGGAATTGATGCCAATGGTATCAGACGATACACCGTCCACCACCACGTGAAGCGATCTGCCTGAAAGAAAACTCGATAAGAGATGGCATAGCTGAGGTGGTAAGCCGTATGATGGTAGTTTGTGGAGGAGTCCTTCGTGCCAAACACGGTCGAATGCTTTCGATATGTCCAACGCGACAGCTAGAGATTCCCCGTGTTTTTCTATTGAAGATTGCCATAAATGGGTGACGTAGGCAAGTAGATCTCCAGTAGATCTTCGGTGGCGAAAGCCGTATTGTCTATCATTGATGATTCCTGAGCTCTCCAGATATTTGATAAGCTCAATATTGATGGCTTTCTCCATCACTTTGGAGATTACTGATAACAGGGCAATGGGCCTGTAGTTGTTGGGCAGGTTCTTGTTCCCTTTTTTGGGGATTGGTTGGACTCTAGCTGTCTTCCAGCATGATGGAAAAATACCCGACCTGTACGAGATGGTAAACAACTTGCAGAGAATCGGTGTTAATTCTGGTGCACATTTTTTGAGTATAATGGGTGGAATTCCATCAGGACCGTTAGACTTCTTCGTTTTGAGACCAAGCAAAATTCGTCTGATAGTGCGTTGACGGAAGACGATTTCGGGCATTCGACTCTCAACGGGTGGAATGTCTGGCGGCAGTTTTCCTTGGGAATCTATCTAAAGTAGAGTTTGCTGCGAACATCTCTGCAAAAATATTTGCTTTCTCCTGCGATGTTGTTGCTAATGTGCCGTCGGATTTGGACAGTGGTGGAAATGAACTATTAGTGAAATTTCTTCCGACCGCTTCAGCAAGGGACCAAAACGAACGGGAGCCGTTGGGGCAATCTATGAGTTTCGATCTTATCTTGGCATTGTATGTTTCTTTCGAAGCATCTATTGTTTGGCTGCAGTTATTCCTAGTATATTGAATAACCAACAAGCTTCACAATACGCTTTATTTTCTTTGGGTGAATAACACAACCATTTGCTTGGAATAATTTGCCCAGCATGACTTTTCTGTGAATGATAAAAATTAGAGAAACTCCTCTTATGGAAAATTTATATCTGGTTGAGACGGGCCATTACGAACAACAAACATTTTTATCGTATTGCTCAATTCTCAATTTATCACAAGGAAATGATTCTCTAATTGATACATCAAGTAATGAATCATCTGACTCAGTTCCATCTCCAGGTGTTCTCGCATTCAAGTCAGGTATGGGCTCCTCGTGGATTTCAGATATAATACTTTTTATATTCACACCATCTGTACCTACAGTTTCGAATGCAGTTGTAGCAGAAGTCTCGTCATATGCTAAGTAAAAATTTGATATTTTTTCTATATACCTTTATTTCTCTTCCCCAAACTTTTTTCAATAGAAATTGTCACTGACAAGCTAGTGAATTTTTCTTTTAGGCTCTCTCATAGGAAAATTCTTTGAACGCAGTGACATTTTGGGGCAAATCATCTGATTTGTCCTTACTACACGTATATTGAAATAATATTCATATTTTTATTTTATAGAAACGACGAGCGAAAATCCCAAAAAATCTGGAATAATAGTTTTTCTTCCATAATAATTGCAGAGTCAACATCCATTTCTGTTTCAATCATCATACTACTACTACTTGATGGACATTCATCATAATATTCAACTGTATTATCCGAAACAGTGGTAGTATTCGTAAAGAACGTGGTAATCTTGGGAATTTTACACTTCTTATTTTCTAACTTTTGTTTCCTTCTCCTTTTTGAAGCACAACTAGCTTTATTCAAGTTCTCAATTTAAAATAATTGGCTTGTATCGTTGATTTCACACATCACCCTGGACCTACACTGAAAAAAAACATGCCTGCACTATTAGCAGAAATGGAAAAATTATTTCTGTGGCATATTCATAATTAAAAAATATTCATGTATTAACCAATTTGGCTGAGTCCTTGCTCTGGTTGGTGGACCCAGGGCCCCAGGACCCCCTCCGAGGAACGGCCCCCCCGCAACCGCGGGGTTCCGCGGTATAGTAGTTACGCCACTGAAGACAATATGTCATCTGAGAAAGTACATGCATTTTTTGAAGTAATAACTAAATAACTAAAATTATTTGAAACATGTCGTATATAGAAAACTCCGTCCGATTTGAGACCAAATGACTTTGAAACGACTGAAATGCTAAACGAACTCAACTATAAGAGTAACTTCAAATTCAGGTTTGCAATAAAGGTCCACGGTTGAACGTTCTTGAGATATTCGAAAATGTAATAATAATGTTACTCAAATCCACATGGTGCTCAGTTTTATCAAATTTCTCAATTATAATTATGAAATAATTCGTTTTCTCTACGACTATCGTATTCTACATTGATTACATATAGGTTAGTAATTGATGAATGAAGATGATTCCAAGACACCGTGGATCCCAACTCATTGTTCAACGGCACTCGACCAATCACAGATTCAGAATTTTCAGGATCCACAGCAACTGAAAATGTTAGACTAAACCAGCAAATCTCTAACAAATTTCTCAAGAAGGCTCTGCTCATTTTACGGGTCACGTCACGGCTTGACTTTCGCCAATGTCAGATTGACTTATAGTGTCTTTTAAGTTTTAACTTTGATATCTGGAGGATATAATGGAGGCTTGCCGTTCCATAGAAATGTACTCTATGAATATTGAAGATATTCAAGATCTTGGATCTTCATAGATGTTAACTATTCCTGAGACCAAAACAAAAATTGTAAGGAGGTTCACTGTAACCGGGAGATTTTATCAATTTTGTAAAAAGTACATTGATATACGAGCAGCAAATGTTGTGATTTCCAATTTTTTCATGAATTACCAAAAAGGAAAATGTACTCTTTAGAAAATTGGAATTAATAAGTTTGCAGCAATGGGAAAACAAATAGTTTCATTTTGGAAGCTACCAAATCCCGAGATGTACACCGGGCATTGCTTTGCTTGTCAATGCAGGTGGAGGTATAACAGCATTGAAATGACATGGTGGCTGGAAGAGCACATCGGTGGCACAAGGATTTCTCGAAGATTCCATGTTGAATAAAAAAAAACGGCAGATTCGAATTCTTCAATGAATCGAATAATGTTCATCATCATCAAATAACAGTTCCTTCACACAAAAAACATCAACTAGCAATATGAATAAAAATGTCAGTGTTGATTTAAATGCAACACCGACATTAAATTTCACGAATTGTGAGAATATCACTAAAAATTTAGTCACTAAGTACGAGAAACATAATTTACTGACCTAATAATCATTGTGCTGTTTCATCATTGAGTTCGTTGAATATTAAAGATTCCTGTCAATTGTATATAATATCATTAAAATTCATACATCAAGTATATTATTTTTATAAATAATAATTAGATTGCATTAAATTTCTGACTATCGTATAGTCGTAGAGAAAGTATAGTCTTCTACTCGCGTATAATAGCTATTATTCTCTCGGATAATTCCGAAACTCGCCTACGGCTCGTTTCGGAATCATATCCTCGGGAATAATAGCTATCATTATACGCTCGTTGAAGAATATACTATTATCAAATTGATCAATAAATAATAAGACCATATTATGCTATGTAGGTAGTAAAGTGATGTAGGAATGCTCAGAAATGTCTTAAGAAGATATCGTTGTTCAGAAAATAATGGTAATCAGTTTGAACATTAGTTATGAATGTAATACCATTCAAATAATAGTCATTTAAGCAAGAATCCATCAACATAAAACAATTTGAAGCGCTTTGATGAATTATAATTTAGTAACCAAATTTTCAAATGGATCTCACCCTCCTCGAAACATTCGACGATCTCCTTCTCGTCCCTCTTCAGGTTCTCCTGTATCCTCAACCTGGTACACCACAGTTCCACGCTCCAATCGCAATGTCTCAGAGCCCTAGCGCTCACTTGATCGGCGATGTCGCCCAATTTGAAAGCGAAGCCGCAATAATCTTCCCACAATTGCGCAGTGAGGCACAAATCTACAATAATATTCATACAGTGAGGACGTAAAAAGTCCTCCCCCCCCCCCTTAACTTTTGAACGGAACAAGCTAGCGAGGTCGGGTAAAATTCAGGTAAAAAGGTAACTGTTACTACTATTTGGCACGAAAATGGTTGTGGTCACGGGACCTAGTATGAATATCTTTTCTTTATTCCATGTATTAATATTTGGTGTTTCGCTAACTATGTTAGCATCTTCAGGAGAAGATTAAAACTAAATATCCTATTCTAGTGTGCTGCTTATATACTAGGTATATGTTCACCCAACTGTGAAAAATACTAACCGTCAAGTTAATATTTGTCTCAACCATGTTAATCTAAATTTTTATTTTACTAAACTATATAGAGGGCTATATGGAATAGGTCCATTATCCTTATTCATTACTCTATTACTATTCTTAAATATCTCTAAGCTTTCATATGCGTCTAGTTTTCTAATGTTATTAACTTGCTTAACTAATTTGAGGTTAGTAATATGTGTGTAACTAACCTCAAATTAGTTAAGCAAGTTAATAACATTAGAAAACTAGACGCATATGAAAGCTTAGAGATATTTAAGAATAGTAATAGAGTAATGAATAAGGATAATGGACCTATTCCATATAGCCCTCTATATAGTTTAGTAAAATAAAAATTTAGATTAACATGTGAACTCAACCATGACAAACATTAACTTGACGGTTAGTATTTTTCACAGTTGGGTGAACATATACCTAGTATATAAGCAGCACACTAGAATAGGATATTTAGTTTTAATCTTCTCCTGAAGATGCTAACATAGTTAGCGAAACACGTGTCGAGGCGTTAAAAAATCGCTTTGGTTAGTGGTAAAACAGTGTAGTGTATTATCGTGCCAAAGGTTCCAGTCTTCAATATAACATTATAGAGAGATGAAAATAATGAAAAAATATGGAATTGAAAGGTGATTGAGTGTCGTTAAGTGATGATTTAATTTAAAAAGTCAAATAGAATCTGTGTTACTGTGTTGCCTATAATATGTAACATCTTCGAAATTTAGGGTTTTTGTACTTGCCAAGTCACACACTCAAGTGGAAAAAACGAATGGAAATTTTAATAAATAAATTTTGAGTTTTTGAGCCTACCTACTACTGCTCGTTCATACAGACACAGTATTGTGGATGGGTCTTTCAGCACTTTTATGTACTCTTTGTATATTTCGAGTCTCTCCGTGCTTTCGGCGATTAGAAGGCGTTCTTCGAAGGGTTTGTAATTTTCCAATACTTTAAGGGCTTTTTTGTAACCCCATTCGATAGGATCTGGATTCACAATTCCTTGAAAAATAAATCAGGTATAGAAAACATCACAATTCACCGAGCAATTCACTCATCTACAATTCTGTAATGTTTAAGAAGATAAACAATAATTTAATAATGCAATAAACATACATTGAAAAAATTACCTGGTGGTAAAGATTTGAACCAATCCTGCCATTCTTGGTAGGTGTTCTCCATATTGAGAAGTGGCACAGACAGTTGTCTCTTGAAAACATCTGCCAACCTATTGACTTGATTTTTCCATTCCTCACTGCCTTCAGAGTTGACCTGAACCAGGATTGATGTGATTCAAATGATTCAATTTGAACCGTGAGACGAATTCACTCTTGTATTTAAAATACGCGTCAATCAGTTTTCGGTTCTGATATTTAATTTTTTATTAGAAGTTGAATACAATCATTAGCAAAACATCTGGCCTCCTCACCCTTGATTTTCAAAATATATTATAACTAATAATAGTTATTTATTATACATGGGAAAAAAGTAGTAGATTTTAGGTCCAGGTTGGATGACAAAAAACCGTGAGTTGAAATCTAAAATTTTTCCCGTGTATAATACACTATTTTTTTCTATGACAGAAGAAAGGACGAATCAATATTGAGAAGATATTACATTATTTTCAAATCTGAAAATTATCGACGTGAAATTTTCAACAGTAGGGAACCTGCGTTGTAGGCATCTCATCATTCTATTGAAGTAATCAAATATCTGACGTCACTTTCTGTCAGTCTAATTCTGTGATTTGATTTCAAAAAATTGCGAATTTAGTGATTGTTTAGTAATATGCGTAACCGCGAAGTCGAATGGATTTGCAGTTCTTTCTCGGAGACTGTATTATCGGCTTATTATTCGGAACTATAGCACAAAAAAAAAGCCATCAACAGTGTATATCTATGTGATTTATATCCGGGAAAAAATAACTCACTTTTTTCCCACGGGAAAAAAGTAATTTTTGAAAAGTGACATTTTATAACCTGCCAACAGAGATGAAATGCCAAACTTTTTTCCCGTCACAGAAAAAACTATTCATTTATGTGGGAGGAACTTTATAAAATATTTCAAGGTGGCTGGTTTTTTGGCCAGTGACTGTATATTCAAGACAGCTAATGGACGAGACCACTGATTTTTTAAAACGACATCATCTTGAGCTGTATACCAAAAAACTACCAGTAAATAAAACTTCGATTTTTTTTATTCCTACTAGGACGATAAGAAAATAAATTGAAATATACAGGGTCGCTGATATGTATGGAAACAGGTGAATATCTCGGTAAATCTGTTGATTTCATTGTTACATCATATGATGTTCTCTCTGTTGACATGAAATTGTAACAAGGTGAAGTAGTCTGAGGCCTTGCTTCAATATACTTACTCATATTATTATAATAATCTGTCAAACGAGTCACATTGGGTGGTTATTTCACCTATATTTATTTTAGTTAGGTGTTAATCAACATTGCAAAAGTCATCGACACTTGCAGTGCTTCTGACCTCGATGGGCTCGATGGAAGCAAACGTTCGGGTTCGGCTGTTTTTCTTTAATCAAAATGATTCACAAACATTCCAGTTAAACTTTGAAATGTAATATCTCCCCAAATACGTCTGTACATTTATTCATACTTTGATTTACTCTCCTCTTATATCTTCTACTACCCACATCATTTATCGCTTCAAGTTCGGAAACACCCTGTATATCTCGACACATAGGTTCAAATTAATACTGATAAGTGTTTACTATCAATCAACTACCCAATTTTCACATGACGTGTTCCCAGTATTTTGTCACAACTCGTTGAATTTTTCGCTAATCCCTTGAATCCACGACAGAAAATCTGAATGACTAACTTTCTGACGTTGCTACTCGTGAACTGTGGTGAATATTTGATATTTTGGTTTCAAACCATAAAGTTGCCCGTATCTCTCCTACAGCCCAAATAGACTATTCGCGGGAATCAATGTTACCAGGTGGCGCTCTGTTTTCATTGTTCCATGTCAAAGCCACGTCAAAACTGGGGGAAAACAAACTCAATCCTCACTCAATCCCATTAATGCCATTTGCTTGTGTACTGTGTATTGATAAGAGTGATGTTTTTAAATTTGTTGACATTAATTGTCAATATTCGATCGAAAACGCCTGTTGTAGATGTTCTTTTGCCAGATATTTTGCTCTATTTTTAGTTTCTACGTGCTAATCATGTGATTTTGTGTGGGACAGAAGACTTCAACAAAAGGCACATTTTTGCACTTTGTCTACAAACTTCGGCGATGAAATCTCCCCCACATTAAGTAAAATTGAAGTTGGGGTCCAGAGGAACTCCTGTAGAACAATGGATTTATATTTGTTCCTGCAAAGCAGGACAATCTGGGTATTGTAAACATGTTGTAGCTGTTTTTTTATATGTCAATTGATTTGCTCGTCATAATCAGTTTGAATTGTTTGAACTATCTCCAATTCTTCACCCGTTCACTGTTCACTAAACTAATTATAATGTAATAATGTAAAAAAATTAACCAACTCAACCATCATCACCAACACTTTATGTCATTGACAAGTTTGACTACAGCTACAGCAAGCTGAATGCAATGTAGTCTATGCATTTTATCCATAGACAACAGTTTGTTTTCCCCCAGTTTGAACTTCGTATTATGTAACCTACATGAATCGTGAATCTCGCGAATAGCCACTGATTGGTGAGGTAGCGGCTCGATCGAGAGCTCGATTGTCAGGGACGGATTCAGTCGATATCCAGTCTTGGTAGGAAGACAAGAAAAAGATTCCAAACAATGCTAATCGTAAGGAAGAGATCCAAGATTTTGTAACTACCCATGATTTATACTTTGGAGGTTTTGAAAGTTGAAGAGTTCAAGAAAGTATATGTCATAGACGACATTGCCAAACAAAATTATACGGTTCTCAGATTGACCCCATATTCTTGTATTTTCAATCCTATAAAATTAATTGGGAGACAATTGAAGAAAAGAATCCGAAGAAAAATATATGTTCCCAAATTTGGACCCTGAAGTTATATCTTTAATAACCACACAAGTGGAAAATAACAGTGCTACCGATTGACATAAAGAGTGAATAAAGTTTTGGAATCCAAAGAAAATAAGATATAGAAATCTGGGTGCTACCCATCTAAACGATCAGAATAGATTCATAATTAATTTGGCAGATGATAATGTAGATGGCTCTAATTTTAGTGATGAAGAAGATGAAGTATACCATTGATTATTTTTTATTTTGAATTAAATTTGTAGGTCAGTTTGAATTGGCAGCTTAATTTCCGAGATTTTCCCTCTTAAATTTTACAGTGTAATGGTCTTCAGGAAGATAAATGACAAATATTTGGCATCCCTCAGTTCTTGTTGTATAAGAAGATAATAGTTCTGTCTTATAAAAACATGATACCTACTATACACATTTCAAGTTGGTTCTCTTTGACTTCATAAATCATTTAGTGGCTTACAAGTAGGCAAGAAAACAAACCATAACTATACCAATTTAATATAATTCAGGTTACTGAAATCAATATTATTTTCTGTTGTTTCTGAGTAAACTAATTTAGTCCGACCATGGTTCCAAACACTTGTGGATGACTTTGGAACATTGGAAAAAAATATTAAAAGGATTGTGTCTACATAATCAAATAAGCCACATTTTTTCAGATTTTGTTATCAAAAGGTGGTGAAAAAATGTCATGCACTTTTTATGAATTAGTTTCTGAATTATAAATGGTAGTGCTATATAATGGTATGTAATAATAATTTAGTAATAACACAATAGAATCCTTTTAAGATGCATATCAATTTATGAAAACCAGTTTTAAAGTACTACCTACCTATACTACATTGATATAGGGTGAAACTCATTCATTTTTCCCAATCAGTAGGAATCTGTGAGAGATGTGAAAGTGTGTGAATTGAGGCAAAGTTGTATAATTTTTCTAGAAAGGTCCAATTAGTTCCAGTGATTTTAATTTTGGGAAACTAGTTGTAATGTTTTACCTTGTCATACAAAATTATTTCTTTTAAATTTTTCCAGCACTTTTTCCAAAAATATAGCTTGTATAGTAAGAAGTAGCAGAAAGATCTAGCCTGAGAGCAATCACAAAACCCACAAAACCCCCTTCACAACCCTCCAAATGAACTCCCCCACCACCTTACTAAGGTACAACCAATCAGCAAAAGGCTGGAAAAATTAGCACAGAAGTTTTAAAACAATGAAATCAATTTGCAGATTATTTAAACCCAATGCATTCAAAGATACCCTACAGAGACCTCAAGACAACACCTTGCTGGAATGCATCTGCCAGGAAATTAATCAATCTTGAACACTTTCTTTTTTTCACCTGCATCAAACAATGATTCACATAAATATATATACACATATATGTATATTATACAACAAAACAAATGAAATACAATAGATATCAATGTATAACAGGCTGAAAGACCCTGGTCAGTGGCCAATTATTGTTGGAATAATGAAGGTGAACATTGGGATTGTGTATCGTGTATCATAGAGAAGAATATGTCAATTTTTGGAGACAATACTTGCAAATTTGGTAGTCCCAATTCTTTTTAACATTATTTCTTAACATTGATAAGTATTCAACAAAATAAAATATTCATTTTTGATAATCAATATTTTTATATACTCAAAGATTTTTCATGAATTCTGACCTGTACATGAGCATGCTCCAGCTCCCTCAGAGTATCCCAAAGTAAGGAACCCTCTGCCACATGAAGTCCTGCAGAGTTTAGACCACGTTCTAGGATGGAATGAGTTTTACTCAGTTCACTGGCACCAATGGAGAATTGTGCATATTCCACCCAGACATCAATGGCTTTTGAGAAAAAAAAGAAAAAATAAACTTCTCAAAACTGTATGTATGTAAGTTACTAAAGGGTGAGATGAGTTCAACAACTGAATTTCCTACTGGTTTTCTACAGATTCATTTCATTCAAAATTGATTGGATTCTTACTATCTCAGAGATTTGGAATATTAATTTCTGATTTTCTGTTTTGAATAGTTGATAATATGAAAAATTACATGAGTACCTACTAGTGTCACTCACATAAATAATCTTCAACTGCCTTATCAAACAGTTGGAAAATACGTGCCTTCTCTTCAGAAGTGCTAGCAATTTTTATTTCTGCTTTTATCCAACTCAACCATAGCTTAGGAGTTAAGGGAAATGTCTCATGAAATCTCTGAAAAGCTGCTCTCATGGAGTCAAGATCTCCCATTTGGAGATATATTGTAGTGACTTCTACATGTGCATCATAAAGGTATTTATTTGATGATATTTGGGCTTCCAATGCTTCTGCTCTAGAAGTCAGTTCCTGCAAAATCGAAAATATGAAATACATTTTATACCTATTTAGAATATTATATACCTTATCATTATCACTATCCGAGTCAGAAGAATCGCTGACTTCGTTTTCCATATTATTATCTTCCTCCATTCTCTCTTCATTCATTATATTTTCTATTTAAATCACTCTTTTACAATATTTTCGATGATTCCTCTATTTGTTTTCAAATTTCCAAAATAAAAAATAAGTCTGCCTACAAGACCGACAACCGGTTTAATTTATTCTAAGAATATTCTTCCTCACGGTGCAGTGCGGTGCACCTTTCCTTAGCGGTGTAGTTCAGGTGTAAGGTTGGGTGTAAGTCTAATACAAGATTGACAAACTAGACAAGTTCGTCTCATTACAGCGTTTGCTGACATCACTTCGCCTGGCCATATGAAAGTTCCCGATTCCGAAAAAAATCAGCATGCATCTATTTTAATGATCTTGGCAACACACCAAGTTATGAGATGAAAGCCAATCAGCCAATTGTACGGCCACTTGTCTAGTAAATCAATCTTGATATTCTTGATCTCAGTGTTGAAATGTGCACTTCTTGTTCTGTGAATAATGAAACATTCTGTGGGAACCGTCATCGCCATCTTCATAACGGAAACGGAAATGTCGAAATACACGTCCGCTGTCAAATGACGTCAATTGCGCAGTTGTCGACAAGTACCGGTTTTCTGCGGTTTTGTATACTGTTTTCCACATTTTGCAGGTGTTTTCTTCCTATTTAACTCGAATGTGGCCAGTTCTGAATACAATTCCTTCAATTAGACGTTGTATCAGTTTAGCATCGATTTCTATTACCTGAAGAACGATTCCGCAGGTAAGCCAATCTCTTTCTCTTCATGCTGCTTCTCAAGATGGAACGCCAACACGTGGAAATCTATTTATGCAATAAATTCGATAAACCGCTTCGGTAGGCTCGCAGACTGATGAAAGGCGTCGATATCCACTTTTGTTGGGCGTTTCAATCTTAAAAATGCATTTGCTTCCTAAAAAAACAAATTTCTCATCATACAATATGTGCGAATAAGGGACAAGCATTTTCATAAAGGATTGATGATTTTTTTTCTTCAAATTTGGAAACGTCAATTGCATCTTATTTTCTGTCACTTTAAAGTCATTCAAATTCTCTTGAAGGTTCAACATGAGCTCCGGAAGTATCTGTTACAAGTGTAACCAGCCTGGCCATTTTGCTAGAGAATGCTCCCAACCTGGCGGTAGAGACAGCGGCGGCAGAGGCGGAGGCGGCGGCGGGTACCCCAGGAGCAGAGAAAAGTGCCACAAGTGCAACAAGGTCGGCCATTTCGCTCGCGAATGCAAGGAGGACTCTGCACGCTGCTACAGATGCTATGGGGAAGGGCACTTTGCCAAAGACTGCCATCAGAGCCCCGACATGCCGTCCTGCTACAACTGTAGGAAGCCGGGGCACATTGCTAGGAGCTGTCCTGAGTCTGGGGGCGGCAGCATGGATCGTGTCAGCAATGACACCTGCCACAACTGTCAGCGGCCTGGGCACATCTCAAGAAATTGCCCTGAGAACACCAAGACTTGTTACTTATGCCACAAACCAGGGCATCTGAAGAGAGATTGCGAGGAGAACGAATACCGAAACTAGGGATTGTCACTGGTTTATTCCTTTGTTATATTTTATACATATTTATACATAGGCGTTGGAGATTGCGTTTTCTGGAGAAAAAGTTGACACATCGTTTCTGATTTGTATTCATTGTTTTGTGAAGAAAAGCACAGGAGTAGCCCTGCAAACCTTGAACATTTGAAAATAGTTTGATTTCAGCATTCAATTATAATAGAAATGACACACTGCAATTGTGAAAAATGGCGAGAAAGTATAATTTTTAATAATAAAGGTGGTAGAAGTTATTGGCATTTTCATTATAACTTGAATAGATCACACTGAATTCCCTAGTTGGATCAGAGATATTCCTGCATCTCATGAAGATGAGATTGTAAGTCATCAGAAAATCTTTGGGATTTATTGATAAGTATAAAGTATAAGGCACCAACAATGTTTATATTGTTTATTGAACCTAATAAACATGTATAAAGATTGTATGATTGTTTCGAAGGGTGGCAAGCTCATATACATATTTTGATTTTGTAAACATTGATCCAGAAACTTTATTGGAAAACCCTGATATGTGTATATCTATTCTCGTTTACTTTTACTTACATGTGTTGCTAAAGTTGATTTTGTTCCCATAGTTGTCTTTGTTCATTTCATGATGTGAACAGAGAAAGTCAGAAAAAATCAAGAGGCCTGTTCGTTTGTGTTTGCTCTACCTGCTAAACTTGATTTTTTTCTATGACCTTCTCTGTTTACATTATGCCATGAACAGAAACGTGGAAGAGAGAGAGGTAAAAGGCTTGTTCGTTTGTGCTTGCTCAACCTGCTGAATTTGATTTTTTTCTATGACTCTCTGTTTACATCATGCCATGAACAAAGACAACTATGGGAAAGAAATCAAGTTTAGCAATACAAACGAACAGGCCTAAAGTCATGCCTCATTCAGTTTGTACCCATCTTCTTTTCTGTAACGTGGTGAACAAAGATAGACAGATCAACGAAAACACAGCACTTGGTTAACACGGTTCGGTTGTTCTTTTCTGTCACATGTCAACTTCATATTGTCAATTGTCATATCATTTGTCAAACTCCCAACCAAAATACAAAAATTGATGTTAATATTAATAACAATTCTTTTTAATATACAATTAAATAGTTGTTTTTCTTTAATGATACCTTCAAAAACTAGTTAGGAGAAATTCGATTTCGTATATTTGTACCAGAAGCAGTCGGTGGCATAACCTCTTATGATCTGTCAAAACTCGAACAATTATTTTAAAAAATGGTAATTATATTGATACCGCAAATACTTCTATCACCTACACATCTCAACATTTCCAGATACATTCAAATTTAACCAAAGGCATCCGTCTAAATGACCGCCAATGATGAACATTCAAATGAACAGTCCGTAAGTAACCTAAAGATGTTCACTTCAGGGATGAAAAATAATCAAAGGTAAGGAGATAATAATAACAACAATCCAATCATTGACCACACCACCAAACCACAGAGAAAGTGAGTCTCCTCCTAATGAAGTGGCTTCTATCATGAAAGAATAATAACTTCAAGGACCAACTTCTCTGGGTGTAATAGGCCTCAATAAAGGCATATCAAAATGTCTCTACAGTTCTGACAAACACATTTTCTTGTTTCAGGTGTAATGGACAAAAAACATCACCTTTAGTGGATCAAATATTTAGTGCTAAGTCTTGTAATGCAGATTTTGTAGTTAAGAATAGACTAGGTGGTAGATGTACATATAATAATGGGAAACAAAGTGATGGAACATATTTTAAGGACCCAGTGTTGTTATCAAATACCATGTTCAATAGTAATAGTTCTTACACTAAGGTGAAAACAGAACCAGAAGATGATTTTGAAAGTCAAATTACTGCCCACAGTATTATAGGTAAGGTCCTTCAGTTTACATATCTAGTGTTTGTGTTCCAACTGAATTTTTCAGATATAGGTGAAATTAGAGTTAAACCAGAGATACCTTCATCTGTGCTGAAATCAAGGTCATATGGTGGAAGCATCAGGGCTACACGTAATGAGGTACTCCAGAGGATAAGTGCAGATGCTGATATTCACAATCACTATCAGAAGCATTGGTTCAGTGCCAGTCTTGAAGTAAGTGTGATCCATTTTCAAATCAATGATAACTTTTACAATAAACAGTAGTTAGGTCTCATGATGAGCCTTAATGACATATAAAGGTCCTTGGTGGATAAAGAGATACAACTTTCAATTCAATTCATTTTTATAATTTCACAATTTCTTCTATAGATGTTAGCTACAGATATTTGATTACCAAACTAGGTTGTAATATTTCATCAATCATATATTTCCTGTAAACTGATGTTGATTTTAGTGTGTTTCATATTTCAAATAGATTGACCCATGATGAAACTAGACTTTCCATTTGATCAAGTTCAAATGTACAATTTTTCTCAAAACCAAGTGATCCATTCAACTTTCATGGTTCAAAATCACTCACTGCAATTAATAATAATGAATATGTTAAGTATGGAAAATACAAATGTGATGTCACTCCATTATGATGAAAATACTTTACCTGGGTAGACTAATAAGTGTCTTTCACTCATGCACATTTTGTCAGAAGAATTTGTGCCATTTTTAGTCTTCCATGTATAATATTTTGACTAGTTGAGATACCCTGTATAATGAGATAGCAGTTAATTATGTTGTTTTCTCTCCAATCACTTGAATGATAAGAAAGTAAGAAATGGAAATGAATTCTAACAAGTAGATAAATATCCTCAGTAGTTTACAGAATGATATCAAGACCAAATTGAGTCATTTTGCTTGTCTATTAAATTTGTGTCATAATCATAATGAATGGTCAGCTCAAATGATATCATAATATTCGTTTTTTATGATCCATTTGATCTGAAGGACATGAGTAAAAAATTATTATCCGATTTTCTGCTTAGTTATTGGTAGCACTGACAGTTAAAAACTTTGAAAATCAAAATTATATTTGGACAATATTTATTCTCACATGAAAGATAAAAATAAATAATACAGGGTGTTCCTCAATTCAACAGGCAAAAGCCCAGGGAGAATGTTTTCTAGAAATTCAACAAGATTCTTATATGCATGTTTTGAAAATCATGGAAGATAAATTGAATATAATCTCAGATAGTGTAAGTGTACCTGATGATTAGAGAAAAAAAATTCTCAACCTCAATATAAAAAGGTTAGAATGGTCTTCTTCTCCATTTCTTCTTATTTCCATTGTTGCCAACATAAAATTTTCATTATGTTATGTTGGAACACTGAAGACATATTATGGGGAAACATTTTTTTCTCTAAACCCTAGCTGAACTTATTTTACATTGACACTTCTTTCACATTGAATTTGTTGTGTGTAATTGGCAACTGCATTTTATTTGTAAGATGGTGTTATTGGCTTATTTTTATGAACTGGCCCAACAAAAGCCATCAACAATGCATCTTCATAGAGTGTTCCTTAAAGACATGCTAATATTCAAGGGGATGATTTTTTAACTCATTTTAGGAAAAAACTTTCCGCTAGCTTATGTCCTAAAAGTCTAAACTTTTGAGATACAGGGTGATAAAGTTTTAAAAAAACAAACAGTTTTTTGATCATAATTGGAATAATATTGTAGACATCTTCATGAAATTTGGTACATATATTCTATGCATCAAAATGCATTTTTTCTTTTCTCTCCCAGTGGCGCCGTTAGAGGGACATGATTGATTATATTATACTTGAAAGTAAGCAATGAAGAAATATTACCAAATTCCATACAATCCTATAAAAAGTCATTCAATTTTGTACAAAAAAGTTTTTCTTTGTTAATACCCCATACGACGCTCCGTTTTCAAGAAAAAACGAAAAAACGAGATCATACTTCAAATTTTGATGAAAAGGATAAGCTGAGTACTCCAATCAGGACATCTATTGCCGGATACCCACATTATGTAACATTTTCAAATTTTTACACCGTTTCAGTCACATAGCAGAATGAATTTTACCATCAGGAAAAGCTATACTTTGATACCCTGTATCTCAAAAGTTAGGACGTTTTTTTCTTGAAATCGGTCAAAAAATTGCCCTCTTGAATATTAGCATATCATTAAGGAACACCCTGTATATTCGGGAAAAATATGATTTATGAAAAATTACATTTTGTGACCTGTCATCAGGGATGAAATGTGAAACTTTCTTCCCGTAATAGTTATCATGTAAAGGGAATTCTATTTAATGATTTAGAATTCTCTAATAAAGAAAATGAAAAGATGTATGTTCAGTTAATGAACAGTCGAAAATTGTTTATTTTTTATAGTTTCCATGATGACATTATAAAAATGAAATCTCAATACTGAGGGTCACAAAATGTGGCTACACATGTATTCAAAGATCAATTTCCGGGAATCTAGACATATTGAAGATGCCGGCAACGTTTAACTGGCACAGGGAATCGTATTTTCACTCTGTTTGAATGTGGCTTTTCATAAATTACGTTGTGGAAATGGCGAAGGAGCTAGTTATATTTTCTTTTATGTTTTTCTGAAGTGAAATTAGATCTTACGAAAAAAAGAAAAAATACATTACATTTTCACAAACTTCACAGTGAGATAAAATAGTTGGTTGTTTTATCAGGATCAAAACTGACACCTTGTTTGACAAGCGAATTTTGCATTTGCGAGGCGAAGCGTTTAGCGAAGCGAGCGGAAGCAAAATTTGCGCGTCAAACAAAGTAACTTTTGATCCGAATGAAACATGCTATTTTTTCTGCAACCGAAAGAATTTGTGAATATGAAGAAAGCAGATTTGCATACATCATCATTTCAATGAAAAGCATTGAAATTATTTATCTATATCGGAATATCAATATCTAGAATGACTTGTTTTCGTTTTATTTTTACTTGTATATGACATCCCAATATTTCATTCATGTGGTATTACGTTTCTATCCTACATTTCTTGCAAATTAAAATTTGTTTTCACAATGAATAAAACAATGCAGTGTGTCCAGTTTTCGATGCTTTTGTGCGATATCTCAGTTGTCTTTGGAGATAGAGACTAGACAGTTGCGGTTTTCACATTACTCTCTCACTTTTTTGTGAAACGGACAATGCCGCAAACAGAATTGTCACGGCTCTCCACGTTCTTGACATACAGGGCGAAATTGAAAATTCTCACTTTTCAAGCACCTTCCGTATCTTGGTTAGTATCCAAGTTATTGGCAAGGTGAGAACGGGACCTTGCATAACTTTTTACGCATAATATAGTGGCGTACTCATTCGGTTTCCGTAATGGCTCATTTTCAGAAAATAAAGCCAACATTGTCTTTTTCAAATGAGACACCCTGTATAAATATTTAATTGTTGGCATTTTTTTATATTATTGATGTTTCAATTCAAAGATATTCTTTTACTATGCGTTTTCGCAAGTAGGCCGTGGTGACTCAGTAGAAAACAAAGTTGTTTATAGCTGTCAATAGTTTTTGACATGAACGCTTATCAAGTTTTCATGCTATACTGTGTTTTCAAGAGTTTCACACTCGTTATTTTGTAATTTTTGTATTTTTCTGCGATTCAAACGATGGCTGCACTGTATCAAAATTATGAAAAATATGATCTGTTAGTTTGCTTCATACAATGCAATGAAAACACATAATGTTTCAGAATTGTACTCCGAAAGGTATGTTTACATAAATTAAGGAGGCAGCCTTCTTCTGATACTTTTTCCCGGATGAAGACGAATTTATTCGAGTATGGAGCTTTCAAACAGCCTCGACCAAAACTTTATCACAAAGGAAATCGTGAAACGGACGAAATCAACGTTTTAGCTTTCGTAGAAGCAGCGCCTTCAAGTTCATGTCGAGTTATTGAAAGAGAAGTCGGTGTGGTCAAGAGCCGGGTACAGAAAATTTTGAAGAAAAATAAATTCACACCATATAAATTACAAATCGTACAGCATTTGCATCCTGGGGATGCGGGACGTCGATTAATTTTTTGTAATTGGTATATGGAACGGATTCCAATGAATATTGATTTTACCCAATCAGTAATATGGTCTGATGAATCATATTTTTCGAGTGCCGGCATCTTCAATCGCCAAAACACCAGACATTGGTCTCAAGAAAATCACCATTGTTATATTTGAACCAGAACAGCAAGGACGGTTTGGCTTCAGCGTGGCTTGTTCCATTTTGGGTAGAAATATAGTATATCGGATTTATGAAGGAGGTCTCACTGCAAATCGTTACCTAGAAATTCTACGAGATGTTTTGCCAGAGCTGCTTGACAATATCCCTCTGGCTCAGTTGAATAATATATATTTTCAACAAGACGGCCGCCTGCCCACCATTCTCAAATAATACGACAAAATCTAGAAATTAATTTTCCCCAACGATGGATAGCCACTAATAGATAAGATGGCCTCCAAGATCACCAGATCTATCAGTTCCAGATTTCTTTTCATGGGGATTTCTGAAAGACAAGATTTACAAGTCTCAACATCGTTCTATGGAAGAACTTAGAGCAGCCACGCATTCTGCTTTCCGATATTTGCGAGGCCGTCCATTTATACTTCAAAATGCCCTTAAAAGAATCACAAAAGTTTGTGAAATTGCTTTAAGAGAAAACGGTAATCATGTTGAACAATATTTATGATCATTGGAAAAGACAATAAAAAAGTGTCGACTACTGAATATTTCCGGAGAGCTTTTGAAAATCTGAATTGAGCTGTATATGTATGTATGTACCATTTGAAAACACAGTATAGCATGAAAGCTTCTACTGAGTCACCATCCGGCCTAATTGCGAAATCGCATAGTAAAAGAATATCATTGAATTAAAACATCAATAATATAGAAAAATGTCAACTATTATATATTTTCGGAACTCCAAAAAAAATCTGAATCGAAATGTAAAGAAATATACAGGGTGTCCCATTTGAAAAAGAAAATGCTGGCTTCAATTTCTGAAAATGAGCCATTACGGAAACCGAATGAGTACGCCACTGTATTATGCGTAAAAAGTTATGCAAGGTCCCGTTCTCACCTTGCCAATAACTTGGATACTTACCAAGATACGGAAGGTGCTCGAAAAGTGAGAATTTTCAATTTCGCCCTGTATCTCAAGAATATGGAGAGCTGTGACAATTCTGTTAGCGGCATTGTCCG